TTTGAAGTGAGAAGTCAACTGCCAGTTAATAGACTTTTTTGACGTATGAGTATACGTTGCCCAGGGTGTACCACGTGGAGGTAAGTCTATCGCAACCTTTGAGACAAAGCAACTTGACTAAGATCATATCACAAAGTGGTCAGTTTTAGCAGACACGAAACAGTATGATGTGGCAGTCTGGGGTCTTGAACTTAGTGAAGTGCCAACATCTATTAACTAATCGAGAATCGAAAATTGGTAAATGATAAATTACAATTTCATAAACTTTTCACACAAATAATTGATATTGCAAATGAGAAAAAACTGGAAATGTCATGTTAGCCAGGAAAATTGCCTTCATAAATCAGAAACAACGGAAATAAATATGCGGTAAAGTTGAAAACCTGACATTATATCAAAGTGTAACCGCAGAATAATACCATCTTTAAAGGCGAAAGGACGATTCTTTGTCAATAAGAATTGTGAGGAGCGAAAAATGAGTTAGACAACAAAGGTGTTGATGAGCCTAAAGAATTTATTATCCAACTGAAGGAACAATTAAACCGTTGAATAAAGCAGTCCCTTATTTGTTTAAGAGAAAGTACTAAGTGGATATTAATATCCAAAAAAGATGAAAGAGAAAATGAAGAATATTTAAATATTTTGTTTAGAAAAAAAGATGAGATGACTACCAATGAACCGTAACCCGATTGTGAAAGCAAAGCTAAAGTCATAATTCGGGTGTAATGTAACAAATCATATATGGTCGAGAAACTAAGAACTTACATTCGTAGGTTTTGCTTTAGGGAGAAAGGCAGGAAGGCTAATGTTCGTGCACCGCGAAACGGACAGATTTTACCACATTGACTCTCGTACCTCGATAAGGGCAGATTGTTTTGGGTATAGAGAGAAAATTTTAAAACCATGACCTTCAAAACCCTTGGAGGGCCAAAGCATATGATTGTCCAATCGAAGAAATAAATAGCAAACACTAATAAACTGGAGAACTAACTATAGCGCACACACCGAAACAATGCGGAAAAAAACTGAGGTTCCGAATTCTATAAATTAAATCCCCTCAACTATAAAAATAGAACCTTAAACCAATCCATCAACCTTTCAAACTAGGAAAACGTTGAATGATTCCCCAAACTGAAAGCGTAATCATTGATGAAGATTTTAGAAGTGAAGAAAATAAAAACAAGAAGAGGAATTAGGTGTAGATGATTAGTAATAACATTGAAAATCATTACTACACTCGCATGTTATATTTATATTTACATTGCAGTCAAGACAGATAAAGATTAAAGCAAAAAATGGTTTGCTGATTGGAATCCTAGCTTTGTATGTGCGGTTACTTGAGATGTAGAAGAGATCAAGACGGATAATCATACAACCATAACCTGGAGATCCAAGTGTAAATGCACTGTGGAAATAAATATTAATAGCCAGTGATTGGAGATCAATCAGCAATTAGGAGAGGGGGGTGAGAGATGGTCATTGATTTCCCTTATAATTAGACCTCCTTATTTAATTAGAATTACTTCACATATTATTCACGTTTTAGGCTTGTGCTTACAGAGCAACTGTCTTTTCTTCGTCCCCTTAACATTTACCCCGATTCTGTTTAGAATAGCCTTCCTCAATGCTCATCTCGAACAGAGTCCCTCTAGTGAGAAATTCGATTTTCGTCACTGTCTAATCCATAATGGTTAGCTGTCCAGTTTACAGGATGTGTGCAGATGGATATCATCTCGTGACCTCTAAATTAACAGACTGCCTCAATGAGACATGGCGGTATCAGTGAAACCGAGTTCGTTCTTGTAACATTATCTAAGTTCTGTGAAGCAATATGCAACAATGGATGGAAGCAGTATATAACATATGTCAAACTACTCAGTTTAATTCAAGGTTAATTTGTCTAATAAATTGAACATCAATTTCACCAAAGAGGCTATCACGATCACTTAAGAGATCAGAAGATTGAGTGGAAGACTATGGAATAATTTAAATAAGGAAAAAAGATAAATTACACTGCAAACTATTTAAGTAGTATAAGAATGAAGGTTCTGTCAGGACTAAATTCTAGCCACTTGTTATTCGCATTAGTCCAATTAATCAAAGAAAATATTTTGTCAGAGGTATATATTGTTTGCAATATGGAACTTGACAAAAGAGTGAGAATTAAATACTCCGGTCTTGAAACAAATGTCTTAGACCTAGACTAGGGTGCGATTTGTGCTCCTTTACCTTGGAAAAAGTCCATGGCTTGAACCATTTGAAGATTGCTAGAAAGGCACTATACAAGTCGTTTTTTTCAAGAGGATACTCTCGTAGTCCCGCATTGTGAAGCAAACCCCAAATTAGTCTGATAGGAGAAAACGTATATCCGAAATCAACAAAGCTTAAAAAATGAGGTAGCGACAACATCCATGCCCTTCAAAGTTAAAAACCTATTGGTTGGTACAAATCGGAGCCTAAATTCCACAACTTTCTTGTTGCTGGCTTTAAATCTAATTAAGTAGTGGTTTAAAAAGAAATAGAACAAAAGTGTGCTCACTTTCACATCTTACGGAGAGGAGATCGTCCAGTCTTTTACGGCAGACATTGCAAAATTTCCGCTTAAAATGTCCAACTTCAGACCAGCAATGAGCCATGGGATCCTGCAAAGTGCACAGATAAATAACTTTAACAACCCAACCAAACGTTAAAAGAAATAAAGAATAAAGAATTCAGCGAATTAAAAACGATATTGAAATGACCTTTACTCTTATCTGGAGTCATCTGCCATCTCAATTTGAATTTCTTTTAGAGATCTACCAAGAGCAGAGGATCCGAAACGAAAAGAGCCACGAATGGTAAAGAAACTGCAGGAAAATTCGACCTTCAAATACAAATTAACTGTGTGTTTTCATGGCCAACTTCTCATTAAGAATTGAATATTGGGCAGTTTTTTCCGGCGGGCTGCTATTTCTCAATCACCATGTAGAACTAGTGAAAAGTAACGCTCCACTCAACCGATTTCCCATTTTTAAGTTGGTGAATTAGTGTAACTGTTTACACACACTCTGCGATTGAAATGTTCACAGGAAGAATGGCAAATTAGAGAAGTAGCCCATCTTTAAAAGAAGGCATTGGTATAATCAAAATCAAGTTGAATGGATACTTGATCCCCATTAAAGGGATAGTCATTAGCACTGACTTCAATAATAACACAAGGAAGTTAAGGAACTGGCACAGTAAGAATAATAAACAGTTTAGAATAAACGAATTCAAGTAATAGGATAAACCAAGAAAATCATACCTGAATGAGGAATGGAATTATACAGGTACAGGGGGAGACGACCTGTCGAATACATTTTTCATGCGACAGGAAGTTGCAGACTAAAATTAGGAAAGGAAGGAAAATAGAGTTAGACGGAGGATTCGATCTTACTAACAAAAGAACTCGACTCAACTCTCAGAAGTGTTGAGGAGATATGACTCCCTGAAATAAGCCATCCACTAAGGCTTGTTATGAAATTTAACGTCTATTCTATTCTACATGAGGAACAATCAGATCCCCTCGTGAAAGGCATGGAGAGCATCCAAGAAAGAGTCCTTCGGATTAACGATATCGTCGAAGTGCTTGGCTCATTTGTCCTCAAACACTCATGATCGTATAACATAGGTCTTCGTAAATAAATACCGACAAAGTCGGTCTCTATATCGACAACCACCCGTGTAATCAAACTGAGGAGCTGGAGACAAGGTCCATCTCGCAGATAAGATGGAATCTAACCACAGTCTCAAAACTTTAACGAACCCAGTTTTGGGTTTAGTGAGCACTCGTAAGCAGTTATAACATCATAGAAGATCACTAAATTAGAAGCGTATGTAACTTAGACTACATATTCTAACTCGAGCCCATTTATCAAAGCGTCTCTCAACACAAGTATTGGATAAAGGTACAGAGACATGGAGCCGCTCAGATGGAAAGCTCGAATAATGCAACCACCTTAACTAATCTAAGCCAATACGATTGGCCATTATCTTCATTTGTATTTATTGTTTGCAATAAAATCGATAAAGAGGTATGTTCTTATGCGGAATAACACAGAAGGTATATAAAAAGACATTGACATCGTTATTTTATGATGGTCAATTTATCATCAGCCCCACACAGTACAAGCTATAGAGGACGAGAACCAGGGAAAAAGGGAAAAAACGCTGTGTGTGCGGTCCTGACATTTACCAAAACCCAATACCCCCCTCCTCTTCAACTAAATATATATAATGGAAAAGGAGAGAAAATTCATTATATCGTGAGGCAAAGTGCAAACAGCCCTACAGCCCGAAAAAGTTAACGAATTCACTTAGCCTCTCGCTCAGCCTTGCGAATCTGTTTATGGGGACGATTTTGCAGCAAAACATCAAAGGAGGAAGCGAGCACGTGTGCGTGTGGAAACATTAAGGTCACTTAAGCGACTTCATTAAAACCTTGTAGTTAGGAGTAGCAGGGAAATCTCCTCTATCTCTTCCCTCCCTTCTGGCCACAGGTTAGGGTCACATACACACCATCCTCCCACCCCACACACACACATTAGTGCATATTCCAGTGCTGAAATCCCCAAAGACCACTTTTCCCCCAATATAGCTACTTGACTATCTTCATATCGAATGAATCGCAAGAGCTTGTACTGAACATCATTAGTGAAGAATACGGACGATAAGGTGGAGTGAACTTACTTTCACAAATCATTCCAGTAGTTCCTAGAATACCCCAGAGGAGATCACAGCAATGGTGGCAAGTGGCGGGTTTATGCAGGTTCTTTTTGATGAAGGCATGACCTTGAAACCATCCTTTTGCAGCAGTACCAACTCTGAGTGGGAAAACGTAATATGAAATAATGTGAGAACCGTTTCAGCAGGTAATAGAAATGTTTCCAAGATTTGTCTTAACCCGGCTTTGGATTCAACATAGCGATAAACAAGTACTATCAGATTTAGAGATCTTGTAAGTCTTAGAATGATGCTTAACTGATCTATACCAATAAAGCCAACAATTCTCGCTGTTCTACCAAACAAGTGTCAAATAAAGAGCTTCGGCTAGTAAATAAGAAATAGTTTCATTTAGTAATGATGAAGACAATTACTGAACAGCAGTAGAACTAAAATGGAGACCCTTAAACCATATATGGAGACATCAAATATTGGATATGATTAGTATTCCTTCATGGAAAAAGATATATATAAATGCATAATTTGAGTCAGTAAATTTGGATAACTTTTAATTCCCTTCTTTAAAATTATTGTTTAACAAGAAAACACAAGAAGATAAATGTCACCATTATAACAAAAGAAGGCTATAAATCAATCTCAAACAAAAACTTGGAAAATCTCATGAAAAATTCAATCAATATGTTTCAAAAGGTGCAAGTCTAATTGCCGAAAGAAGTATTAAAGTAGTGTATTCTCTTGTGTAAGATAGGCAAATGTAGAATTTTTGGCTTAATTAAGTTTGAATGAGTGGCGTCGGTTGAATGGGTAAAAGGAGACGATAAAGCGATTAAAGCCATTTTTCTTTCATTATTTTAGAAATAAAGTAAATTATTGTACTAAAAGAATAGAGCAGAGCCTCTTTCATCTGATAAATAAATAAATAAATAGTAATAAATAAATGATAATAAATAAATAATATTGAAGAGGTAGTTCATAACGTTATAAAATTTTCTTCAATAAATAATTAAAGTAACATTGAAGAAAGAAATATTGAAAATTGAAGGCAATAAAAACGTAAGATGTACGGAACATAGATAGAACGACGAAAAAAATGAACGTAAATTGGAATGACTATGAGATTAGGATCAAAGTAATTGAGAAATAGTTAAAATAGCAATATAATAGAGTGGCTTAACATCCCATTTTGACAAGCATTTGGGCTAGAAAACAAAGGCATTATTAGGGCAATCTTGGTTAAACTATTAAAAAAAACTATCAGCTTCCAAGCAAAATCAAAACGCACGAGTTCTCGAACTAAAATTTGTTGTATGTTCTGGCCAGATATTAAATACATAACAACAAACAAGCAATTTGACTCAAAAATACAATTAATACTTACCGTGGACTTGAAGATTGAGTATCAGTATCAGTGACACCTTCAACGTCCAAGTTACTAACAAGTTCTGTCGCCTTTGTTGAAGATGAATCATCCATTATTTAAAGGGAAAGGGAATAAAAAACTAAGGAACTGTGTTCTAGATGACGGGCATTGATTCGATATTTGATAGATCAGTCACAGAGTTGCTAAATGTGTGAATAAATAAATAATTATAGTAAAAAAATTAATTAAGCTGAGAAAAACATCTCAATCAAATGTTCTCCGAAAAACTTATAACTGGAGAATGCGCTTACATAAAAAATAAAAGAGTAAAGATATAAAAAGAATTAAAATTAATTATTTAGCATGTAATGCTCAGTAACCAAATAAAGACAGTCAAAGAAATTTATTCAAACATATTTAATCAAGGCCAAAATAAATAAACAAAAGCGAAAATAAAGTCCTTTACATATAAAACGTGGGGATTCTAAATAGTTTAGAGAAAACATGTCAAGTTAGGCTAAGCTCAGAAAGAATATAGGCATTATAAAAATAAACTACCTCGTTTTTATGCGGCAGTGATATGCAGGAAAACGTTCAGCGAACCTTAAGTTATTAAAATAGGGTAAAAATAACGGCCATCTAGCAATAATTGCTAAAAACAATCTCAGCGCTGCTATCATTGATTAAAATTGAGTGGATTAAACAAATTTATATTTTTAATTGATCAGAAAATTATAAATTACTTTACTGCCAATCTGATCAATAGATTTTATTAACAACGCGGCGCAGTTTTATTTTAAGATTTATTTTGCTTTAAAAGGACTTCTTTTAAATTCATCGTAAAGGGGTGAGCGATAGACTTTTCTCTACACTGGGCAACTTATACTCATACAGCAACAAAGCCTATAATCCGGCGGTTGACTAATCACATTAAAATACTATGACAGTACTGTATGCCATGTTCCACCACTTCCACGGTGCGCATCTTACCATTTTCTCATCATTTGTGTCGGCCTCTCTTTCATCTGTGAATCACTCTTCTGTTACATTCCCACCCCCCC